TTATATTGTGTGTTTTCCCTCCTCTCCCCTCCTTATATATTTCGGCCATTTGGCCCTTGTAATGATCATCTCTGAATTATTAAAAAACTCCTTTTACTCTTTGAGTATTTATAAAATAGTGTGATGCTATTTTAGCCAAATTCCTAATTCTATATCTTAAGAGTGGTTATCTTAAGTGTGAGTTTTAGGTTCTAGATTTTGATTAAGTGTGTCATATCTTAATTAAATTCTAGATTCAAACCCCAAGTTAGGATAAGAGTGTGTAATATCTCTTAAACACCAACTTGGTTTATCCATCCCTGATTTTCTTCCATTTCATACCTCCCCATTTCTCCTCTTAATCTCACTCTTTTCTTCCATTAAAATACCCAAAAGAACTCCCTCATCAACTTCATATATTTCCAGTCCATTCCCCACAAAAACACCCTTCTTCCTGCCCAGAAAACTGTCAAATAATCGATTATTGCTACTGTAAATCGATTATCCCCCCTCCCAGAACATCCCCAGAAAACTGCCCAAGAACCTGAAGCCCTTAACAATCGATTATCCACTCAGGACAATCGATTATCTCCCCTTCCCTGCAAATAAAGAGGTTTTAACTATAAAACCCGGAGCTGAGATATAACACTTTCTACTGCCAAAGCGGAATATGTTGCTATAGGAAGTTGCATTGCTCAAATTCTATGGATGATGCAAATACTTGGTGATTTTAAACTAAAGTTTTCTAAAGTGCTTATTTATTGTGATAACTCTAGCGCTATAAATATTTCGAAAAATCTTGTTTTACATTCAAGATCGAAACATATTGAATTCGGCATCATTTTATTCGTGATCATGTTTCAAAAGGAGATATATTCAAACTGAATATGTCAAAACACTAAAACAACTAGGGCCGTAAATGGATAACTGAAAACTCAATTACCATCCGCATTCGTATCCGTTTATATGGAAAATATCTGCATCTGTTAAAAGTAATTATTATCCATATCTTATTAAGGATATCCGATTGGTAAACGGATACAGATTTTGTAATCATACATCCAATCCGTTTCCTAATTTTTTATTATTACATTTTGTTTTCTATTGACATCTCAAAGTATAAGACATTTTTATATGCAACGTATATGTGTAGACACATAACAGTACATATAGACACTTAAAAATATGTGTGTATGTGTATTGTATATATCTTTTTACCATATGGAGTTATCATAGAGTGTTATAAGTTATACAAAATAAGAAAAAATTACTCTGTAACAAATTACAATTGAATGAATAATATTTTGACTTTAATTTAATTGGAAATTTAGGTATTGTTCGATTTAACTTTAAAAATTAGAAACGGATACGGCTGCAGATATGGTTTTGATTTTTAGTATTTCTCAAGATCATAGTTTGTAAGGTGTCGCCTAGGCGATAAGGCGCTGTCACTGGGACGCCTTGTCTGCTCGCCTCGCCTAGAAAAAGGCGACCAGGCGCTCGCCTAGGCGTCGCCTTTCCTCGCCTTACCTCGCCTTAATTCGCCTTACCTCGCCTTGATGCCTTGGGCCCCTTTAAAATTTTGAAAAAACCCATTTTTTAGTGCAGCTCTTTTTCTTTTAGTGTAGCCTAACAGACTTAAACTTATCTTCTCTCTCTTGGTCTTCTCTGTCAAGCTTCCTTAAAATGTATAAGACATATATATACATATACAAATATATATATATATATATATGTATGTATGCATATATGGGTATGTATGTCGCCTAGTCGTCGCCTAGGCGTGCGCCTAGTCGCCTAGGCGATATGAAGGTACATTGGCGCCTCGCCTCGCCTTGCCGCCTTACAAACTATGCTCAAGATCCGTATCTGAATTTGATATTCGATAATAATAAACGGATGCGGATTTGGTAATGGCACATTGTATCCGATTAATATTCGTTTACACCCCTAAGAACAACGTGCTGATATTTTTACAAAACCTCTTGATGAAAAACAATTTTTACATATATGTAGAGAAATGGGAATGCTTGAATTGCAATGAATTTAATCAAGCCAAATGCTCAATACACTTGCCTAGAGGCCGATACAAAGTTGGAAATAGTGGTGTGGTACCCTTACCGCCTTACCGGTGCACTATATCGTGCTCATGGTAGGCGCTACCGTTCACACGGTATCCGGGTACCGAGTGACCATAGATTCCACTAGAGCCGGTTGGTTTTTGACATAGTTGTGAATGGCAGTAGCCATAGACGCTTATGGCGCTATAAGCGCTGTGGCGAGGTAATTCCGCCTAGGACGGATGTGGCGTGGCGTTTTACAGGAGGCGCGCTATAGGCGGTCGCCATAGACGCCTTGGTTTGTGGCGAGTGGGGAGCGCAATCCACGCCTTGCGCATGTGAAAAAAATTGGCCTTGATGTGTCGTTTTGATACATCCGATGGAAATTGTGCCGCTCCCCAAGATCGCAAATGCTCTAGAGTCCATCGCGGGTTGGAGAGTCGATTCTTCTAGAGATCTTCATCACAATTGGCAGGGAGCAGCGCTATTACTTATCCTTAGCCCAGCGCAAGTCCAACTCAAACCAGGCCCAACTCCGTAGATATTATTCTTATTTTTTTAATTGATATCTTTTTACCCATATAATGTGTAATGATGATGATGATTATAATTATTATGTTTTTCAGATTTTGTTTAATGTCTTGTTTGCTTGATTAACACAACTGCAGGTCACAGATTATGTATTTGTCACTAATTATTTTGTTTTTCTAGTCTTATTCTTTTTCACTGTGTATTATTATATTCTTATATATTTTATTTATATATTTATATATTTATATTTATATTTATATATTTATATTTATATTTATATATGTTCGCCATTTGACCGCCTGCATCTCGCCACGCCTCTCGCTATAAAAAAGGTCCTCTCGCCCGCCCCTCGCCACTCGCCATTAATAACTATGGTTTTTGAGACTTTCCGGGGTCGGTACACGGTAGGCCAGACCGTTACTACGGTTCCGAACTTGGGAACTAGGTCGGGATAAACCTGGTCTTGGAGTTGAAGAACATGACCCTAACTTTGTTCATGTATGATTTCAAGCACAGGAACGAGGATGTCATCATTTTTCAACACTCGTCCTTTGATTACATTTGGGTGGCTATAAGCATTGAACCCGGCTTGAGCATCGAAAACGATTTCTCTCATTTTCTTCGAAGAAGAGTGGAATGAAGATGAATTGAGATAGAAGTAGGAATAATAGAAGAATTTGAACAAAATTAGGCTTAGATTTAAAGAAGTTGAAGAAAATTGGTGAAGGGTTACCCATAGTTTGTAAGGCGTCGCCTAGGCGATAAGGCGTTGTCACTGGGACGCCTTGTCTGCTCGCCTCTCTTAGAAAACCTTAAGGCGTTCAGGCGCTCGCCTAGGCGTTGCCTTTCCTCGCCTTACCTCGCCTTGATGCCTTGGGCCCCTATAAAATTTTGAAAAAACCCATTTTTTAGTGCAGCCCATTTTCTTTTAGTGTATACACTTAAACTTATCTTTTCTCTCTCTCTCTCTCAGTTTTCTGTCTCGATCAAGCTTCCTTAAAATGTATAAGACATATATATATATATATATATATATATATATATATATATATATATATATGGAGTTGAACACAAATTTCCTCTCTCTTCAACTTCGGCGACAATGGCGTTGAACGCAAACGTCTCCGGCGAACAATCCGACGGCCACCACTTCGCAGATGTTATCAAGATCGCAGGCATCTATGGCGTCTCACCTTGGAGAAGATACCAAGAAAAGCTTCCTCGAAGATTTGGGATCTGCGAATCAACCAGAAAGGTTTCCGTCCAAACAGATCGAAAAATTCAAAGGATTTCCAGCGATTTCCTTCACCCCGGATGAGGTAAAATCACTCTCTGCCCCTTATGAATATGCATTGGTTGGTCGTTTCAACAAGTCTAGACCCCCTCTCCATATCATTCGCTCTTGCTTCGAAAGAATTGGTTTCAAAGTGAATCTTAAAATTGGTCTGCTTTCTCAATCAATTTTGCTGTTGAATTTCAAATGCCCACTTGATTATCAACGTTGTTTCTCAAAACGGGTTTGGAAAATCAATGGGTCATCGATGATTGTGTCCAAATGGAGCTCTGATTTTCATGTGGACATTGAGACTCCAATCTTTCCGATATGGACTTCTTTACCTCATCTTCCTGTCCATCTTCAAGAGGCTAAGGCTCTTTACAGTATTGCAAAGTGCTTGGGTAACCCGCTTATGATGGACTCCTCTACTTCTGCAAAAATCAGACCGTCTGTGGCTCGTTTTTTTGTTGAAATGGATATTACACAAGAACTACCGAAGAAGATTTGGATTGATAATGGAGGCCACGGTTTCTTCCAACCAGTGAGCTATGAGGACATCCCAAAGTATTGTAGGGATTGCCAAAAATCAGGGCACATTACCGGAAAATGCAATACTACGGATGATGTTTTTCTTAAGAAAGATGCTGCAACCTCAACCAAAGCCAACTACAAGGATCCGAAACCAAGTAGGGACACAGGATGCCCCAATCCGAAGGAAACAAAAACTACTGTCCAAAATTCTAAAGCTAATGAAGATGTACTTGTGACACCCCTTGAACAACAGGAAATAGCCAAAGAGGATATGGCAAGGTGGGGGTCAGTGGCAGAAGGCACCACACCAACAACTAGAGGCAATGACACATCTGTCCAAAGCTCCAAGAACCGATCTGCCAACATTGAAAAGATTCCAAGTCTTGAGGGATCAAGCTCAATACAGCCTACTGCTCAGTTAGAGGTGGAAGAGGCTATAGTTGGGACTCAACATAAAGCTGATGTCGTTGAGATCGAAAATGCAGTTACTATGGTAGCTGATGCAATTGAAATCCACGATGGGTGTTCTACTCCCACTCTTGTTTTTCAAGATGGAATGAATAAACCAAATAAGACTCAGGCCGCTAAAATATCACCTGACCCTCAGACTGCAATTGAGGCGAAAACAACAACCAGACATACCTACAAGGAAACTATCATCGAGGTTGATGGTCAATTATTCATCATCGAGGTCAAGGAACAAGATGACTTCAAAACAACGGAAAAACCTTTGGAGGTCACAAAAGATGCAACTTCAGCAGGTTCTAAAGATGAAGAACCCCAAGAGTTTGCTGCAAATGACACCTTTGACGCAAGCCAGGATAATGAGGAGACACGGAACCAAACAGAAGTAGAATTTGATTGTGAAGAATATCAGTATGAAGAAGACTTCACTCTGGTCAAACACAAGAAACGAAACTCTCCTCCGGAACTAACGATTCAAACAAGAAGTGGACAACTAGGCCGAGGTCGAGGCAGGCGAGGTTGAGGTGGCAACTAAGGCTCTTTCACTTTGTTTTTTAGGGGCTGCGTCTCCTCTGCAAATTGGGTTGCGTCCCATACGTTGCTTTTTCCTTTTTTCTTTATCTTCTACCACTTTTGGGTAGTTCTTTCCTCTTGTACTTGATTCTTTTCCATTAATAAAAACCCTTCATAAAAATATAATATATATATATATATATATGATGAAAATGAATCTAATGAAGAAAGCGATCCAGAAACTCCCACCATGGAACGCCCCCACAAAGGAGAACCTCCTGACATGACAATCAAAACACGAAGTGGTCGCGCTCCATTCGCGGGGCGTGGCAACAACACCCGTGGGAGGGGGCGTGGAAGGCACGGTAGACGTGGCAACCACAACCCGTCCTAATTTTTTAGAGTTGTTTTCTCTTCCAGTTTGTTGAAGGCGTGAGAAGGCTTTCTTCCTTCTTTTTTCCCCTTTTCTTCTCTATAAATTAAATTTAATTTTTTAAAAAAATTCAACACAAATACAAATTTCTCTCTATCTATCATTTTTTTAAAAAAAATTATTATTCAAGTATTTTATTTATTTTTTCATGAATGTAATTTTTTTATTTAATGAATGTAATGGTTTTATTTAATTAATGTAGTTTTTTTTATAATGAATGCAATTTTTTTATTTAATGAATGTAATTTTTTTTATTGATGGTGATTCCTCCCTCAAGGTGTTTTGGGAATCAAATAGGTTTGGGCAATTTGCCCGACTTTTTTCAAATAAATGCAGCTCTCACATTGTCATACCTGCCAGTTACAACTTCACTGGACTAAGCATTTTTTGCAAGGGTTTATCTCAGCTTCTTAGCACACCAGTAGATAAGAATTCGTTGAGTAACCAACAGCCACTTCTAAATGGAACAACTGAAATATCTGGGAATGCTATAATTGACAGTGATGAAGGATGGAAATGCGCCCAAAGTGAGAGGGTTTGTGGCAAAGAAGAGGAAAAACAGAAGGAATCTGTGAATAGGGTCTCCACTGATTCAGCACTAAAATTGGAGTTGGAAAGTACTCCAAGAAACTACACAGATGCAGTATTAGACCGGGAGAGTATCAAGCAGTTTGATCAAGTCATTAAGGACAACCTAAGCCTCTTCCGGAAATCCATGGCTAAGATAAAATTCTTACAAGCTCTAAACAAGGGACAGATAGTCAACTACTCAGGGGAAGTACTTCGGGTTACTAGAGAGACAACAAAGAGCTTTGAATACATAGATGCAGCATTAGTTCAAGAAGCAAAGTACCCGGTCTACCTTGCTTATGCCAATGAGGATATGGATGCAGTTCTCAATCACCTATGCGGAGTGCAGGAATGAATAACCCTAAAACTGGGCAAGGATTTATTTAGACTGTCTTTTATCAGCTTATCTGGGATTTTATTAGTTCTTATCCGATTATAGGTGATTTATTAAATCTTAGGACTTATCCAATTATAGGTGATTTATTAAATCCTTGCCCAGTTTTTTTCGTTTTGGTTTGTTCTACATTGATCTTCCTCTCAGCCCTTCGAACTGTTGAAGAAGTCAAAGAAGCTGTCTGGGAGCTAAGCCCAGACAGCTCCCCTGGGCCCGATGGCTATAATGGCTACTTCTTTAGGGCCTGTTGGGACATCATTAAAAAGGATATTTGGAAAGCCATCCAGGAATTCTTCCTTGGCATACCTCCACCTAAATCCCTTACCACATCCAATATAATCCTCATTCCCAAGGTGAACAACCCCTCAAACTTTGCTGAATTCAAGCCCATCTGTCTTTCTAATTTCATGGCCAAAACTATTTCCAAAATCATGGCTTCCAGATTGTCCTCCATTCTTCTTAAAATCATCAGTCCAGAACAAGGGGGCTTGGTAAAGGAAAGGCTCATTCATGACCAGATCCTCATCACCCAAGAAATGTTCCATGGTCTCTCTAATGACTGCCGGGGAGGAAACCTGGCTATCAAACTAGACATGTCTAAGGCTTTTGATAGAGTTTCTTGGATATACTTGATGGAAGTGTTGAAAAGATTTGGGTTCGGTGCCAAGTACATACTCCTCATCCAGAATATCCTCACCTCCAACTCTCTTGCCGTGAATATCAATGGGAAAAACACAAAATCATTGGGGGTTGCTAGTGCGAGTCGGGCTGTGGTGAGGCGGAAAGTTGCAAGGGCATTTTAGTCCTTTCAAGCTCTTAATCAAACCCTCTTAAAAATAAAGAAAAGTCAAAATGGGAACATTCCCAGACGGAGGGAGTAACATGTTAGTTAACAAATCTTATAAACTTTTATAAACAAAAAATGCGAATAAATGTTTGGATCTAGACATTAATGTATGTGTCGTGTGATAAATAAAAAGTATGATATTCCTTCCCGTTCTCTCATTTTTATAAACGAATAAGTATATATATATTTATATACTTCTATAAATGGAATGAGATGGAACGGGACAAATTTTGGGACAGGTTTGGGACAATTTTGCCAACCCAAACAAGATGGGGCATTATAAAAATGAGATCGGAATGTTTCAGAACAGGGCAATGAGACCAGGGCTGCGGCAAATGGCAACAGCGAAGGGCGTCAATTAATGGCAATGGCGAATGGACGCATCGAAGGAGGGTGATGAGACCAGGGCTCCTTTCGTCTCATATCTTTTTTCTCACTTTCCTTTTTGGTCTGTCCCACTTGTTTCTTCTCATTTCCTTATTTGACAAATAAATTATACCAAAAGACTAATTTACCCTCCACTTTCTTTCTCTTCTCCTTTCCTCTGTCTCCACCCACCCGCTTTCTTCTTCTTTCTCCCCCCCCCCCTCCTTTCTTCTCCATGGTTAGTCGTCTTTTGTTGCCGTTTCTTTCTCCTTCCTTTATCATCATCCTTTAGTCCTAGCCTCGTAGGGCTGTGGCAAATGGCAACAGCGAAGGGCGTCAATTAATGGCAATGGCAAATGGACGCATCGAAGGACGGTGATGAATGGCAGCAACGAAGGGCGGTAGTGCATGGCCGCCGCGAAGTGCGGCGCCGAATGGCAATAGAGAAGCTTCATATTTTGTTCAGATCTTAATTCTTCTAATCTTCAGGTATGACTTCAGATCGTATTTGTAAATTAAAAACCAAATTGGCTATTCTCGTTCTTCGAATATAAAAACCAAACTAACTTCATTCCTAGATCTAAATTCTTTGTCGTCCTTCGACAGGTTTTTTTTGTTTCATGTGATTGGGATTTCAAATTTAAAACCAAGCTTCATTGTTGGGGATTACAAGCTGTGTATAAAGCTTCATTGTTGGGGATTCTTTGTCGTCCTTCGACAGGTCTTTTCCTTCTTTTTTATTCTCTTCATCTCTTCTTTGCTCCATTTAATTTAGGTTTCATTTGTGTGACATTTCTCAGTTGTCAGAGGGGGTTGAAACTGAAGAGGGGCTGAGGAGTGGACACATTTTCAATGAAGGAAAAGGCAGGGAGGACGGAGGGTGAGATGGAAGAATTGGGTATTTCCCCAAATGGTCCTTTTTAATTGGGTATTTTCTCAAATTGGTCCAGTTTTTTAAATAAAAACTTATTAAATATGGAAAAATAAATTTAATTTTTATTGGATGAGAATATAAAAAATAAAATTATAAATATATTTTTATAAATTTGAAAAGTAAAAGTTTCAAAATGTTTATAATTATTTAGGAGAATACCAAGTAAATAAAATAATTATTAAACATTATTTATTTGCTCCCTCACTTTTGAAATAAGGCTCCTGTGTTGGTTTACAATATTTGATTGAAGTTATTTTCAAAATAGTATAACCGAAAATTGGTCTAAAATTAAAAAAATGTCTATTAAGAAAGTACACAAGTTCTACAAAAGAGGTGGTGACATGACTATTTTTTAAAATGATCGACGAAAATGAATTAAGACACTGCTTAGACACTTCCGCTGCTTCGAACCAAATCCTCCCATAGACGTTCTCCACACATCGCACATATTGGGCATTCCTCTTATGCACCTTAACTAGCCGAAATAGCCTCTTATCACCGCCCTGTTCCTCAAAGTCTGTGTTCCAAGGATGATGCATTCTTCACCCTCGTAACCTCTAATTTTGCTTACGTACAATTTTAATATCTTATACTCCACTCTTAAAGGCAGCCTAGCCTCCTCATCACTACAGTGCACAAACCTCTTATATGCTACATTCTTAGCTTCTACCTTACTATGAACCACATCACTCCACCACCAGTCACCTTTATGTTGGCTTCCAGTGCTTCTGATCACACCTAGCACTTCTCAGGCAGCTTCCCTGATGTATTTTACAGTCTTAGATCACATATCATTGGCCTCCCCCGGAAGACTATCTTACACCTTTCGCTTGAACTCAAGCAACCAACTCTGGGATAGTCCTCACTTCCCCATCAGATATGTGGAGGTGGACCGCCAGCTGTCCGTCCCTTCTACACCAAATTTATATAACATCCATCACTAGTAAATTATGTTGAGTCGAGAGGTTCTCACTAGAGATTACTTTAGTATCCTTACTGTTGCGCTCATTTGGTCCCTATTCAGTATTCTTATTTGCTTTTTCCACAAAGGTTATGAAAAGATAAATTTAATGCTTAGGGAAGTGATATTATTTCCTTGAAGGAAATGAGAAAAGTAGGTACATGCCAAAGAGGAATATGGGAACATTAAAAGGGGGTAGAGGGAGTCTTGCCTCATGTAATTCAAATTAAGTTGGTATTGAAATAAAATTGAGATGGAAGTTTTCTTCCACTAACTCTTCTCTATTATACAAACTTCCCTTGTTTGTTCCCTAGGAAAAACAAAAGTTTAGTATTCTTCAATTACTCCCCTTCTCGTAATGCATATCCTTGGTCGCGAGTGTCGACACATATCATCATCTTCCTCTTATTTTTCATTACCTCTGGTGATATTAATGAAACTATATTCATCACATTTATTGTTTGGTCATTGATGCAACCCATATTACATTCTCTTACCTTGGGTCTTGTCAGACAACAATACTTGTGTTGTGTTCATCTAGCGAACTAATTTAAACTTTAAAACGAATTAAATAAAAAAAGGGAGAGTGGACCCAAAGACAACCCCACCATTCTAGATACATTTTTAACAAAAACGTTCATGTGATAACAAAAGGCAAGTGACAAAAATGACGCTAGATTAGACAGAATGAAAAAGGCAAAAGGTCATGCCATGTTTAGAATAGTATCAATGAGGGACAGAAATTCAAAAGTGGAAAAAAAATCTTACAGACAAAGAGAGTGCATTACTATGAAATTTGCTATACTTGATTTATATTGCTTCTCTTCCAGCTATCCAAATCTATAATGTGACACTATGCAAAAATGTGCTAGATATATGACACACAACAACCACGAAGTTGAAAAAGAAAAAATATACCTGAATTTCAATGACAAAGGCCCGTGATCCATCCATAACTACAGCTACAGCAAGCCCAACCAGAAAATCGGAATCTGAGTTCTGCTCGCTAAGAAACATTTCACTCGGATTCACAACAGCTTGTAAGCCTGTATCCGACATTTCAAAGACACCAAGCTGGCAGCAAAAAGAAGTTTTGATCATCAGAACACTCCCACAGTTAACATTAAAAAATCATGTGAGCACAACTTAAGACATTCACCTTTAGTTACTCATTGTTCCTTATTTCATATTTTTTTTCATCATTCAACTCGACCATTTTATGATATTCTTCATTTAAGCTTTGTTGAGCACCACTTTAGAAAGTTACTATAATTGTAATTTGTAAACATACTTACTCATATGCTAAACTAGACAAAAGAAATGAGTTGCATGATTGGAATGGATTTGTATCGATATTGATATATACATTGCTAATGATTTCTTCGTCAAGAATTGGATACCATTATGCTAATTCCAAAAGTTTTGCGATTATGATAGAATCAATAGGCAATATGGACCTAGGTTGAGACCACCATCGCATCACGAGTTACGTGTACCACTACTTCAAAAAGCAAAAGAAGAGACCAAGAAGTTGAAAAAGGGGCATGAAAAGGTTTGGTCAAAAAATGGTTAATAAATTTTCTTGCAAACAAGGGACTTTTTACTTTAGCTCAATTGATGCTTCAAGTCAGGTGAATGATGCAAGTATGTTAGCTGATTTGTTGGAAGAAAAAATTGAAGAATAAAGTTGTTCAGGTAGTAACTGATAATGGTTCCAATTACAAAGCCATTGGAAAGTACTTGAGGATTGTATCCTTAGGCTCTTTTAGACACCAGCCCACTGCCTAGATCTCATGTTGGAAGACATGGCTAATTTACCAAATTTTAAGGGTGAGATTGAAAATGCAAGACGTGCAGCTAAGTTTATTTGCAGACATGTAGGGCCTAATGTTGCGTTGAGAGAAAAAACAAATGAGAAGGAAACCATTCGACACAGAATTACACGATTTGCCATGACTTTTCTCACTCTACAGAGTATGTACAAGCCCAATAATGCATTCAGAAGCTTCTTCATTAGTAGGGACTCGAGTAAATCTAAGCTGGCCAACACAAAGGCGGGAAAAAGGTATGTGGCATTGTACTTCCTTCTAGGATTTGAGAAGTGCTAGAGGATTGTATAAGGGCATCACAATTTCTTTTAATTGTGTTGAGAATTGTCAATAAAGATGAGCGTCTGACAATGAAGGGGGTGATAGAAGCTGTTGGAGTCTATCCCACATCGGAACTTGTAGTGAAAATAAATCGATATATAAGCTCTTGAGTTGAACTAACTAATCGATTGGATTCAATCTTTTAATGTGGTTCGACCCAAGTGTCTTATTGCCCAATCCAGTTGTTCATACCCAATCCTAAATTCTATCATGGTATCGGAGCCAGTTTTATCCCACCTCGTTTGTCAAGGTGTCCGTCTAGACGTTCATTCCTAGCGGCCCGTTTGTCTTTAGCCCAGTTGTCCGTATGGAGGTTGTACCCAACGACCTGTGGCCTGTTTAACACGATTGCTCATCTGGAAGTCCATACCCAGCGGCTCGTGGTCCTTTAGGTGTTGGCGCTCATAAAAAAAAAGTCAAGGGAATGGGAGTTCATTTGCAAGTGGTCAACCGGTTAGATTCAAAATGGCCCGATTGTCCACTTGAGGGGGAGTGTTGGAGTCTATCCCACATCGGAACTTGTAGTGAAAATAAATCGATATATAAGCTCTTGAGTGCGCCAAGATTTAAGTGACGTAGAATGCTATTATTGTAGAGAAAAGGGTCACGTGCACGTAAGATGTCATTATTGTCATCAAATAAGATGTCCTCAGGAAGTTGAGAAAAACATCACAAAGAAAGGATGATGGTGACTCCTACACTAATGTGGTCTTTGATGATGATGATGGGGATATCTACTTCAAAACGGGTGAAGACGTTGCTAAGCCTGAGTGGGTGATGGATAGTGTTGCCTCAAAGCAAATATGCCGAGATCAAACTTTGCTCGACACCTTAAAGATATATGGAGAATTTGATCACTTCAACTTTGCAAATGATGAAAAGTTGAAGGACGAAGGTACCGAAAGCGTGAGGATGAAGCTTCATAATGATACAAGCCACATTCTTCGTAGTAATGTGAGGTACAAACTACTAGCAATACTAATGTCATATCGTTGGGTGCAATGACACTAGAAGGGTGTAAGTTTTTTGGCACAAGTAGGTGGTGCAAGGTGTTCAAGGGGAGACGTTTGATCATACGAAGGTGCAAAAATGAGAAGAACATTTGCATCCTCGATGGAGGAGTCATGCAGAGAAAGAGTAGCATCACTACACAGAAGAAACTGAGGTTATTAGAAGAATGTAAAGGTCTTTAGAAATATGATTTAAAAGAGGAATTGTTAGGATATTCATTCAATATTTCCAAAGTATTGTGAGAAGGAAGATTCTATAACTTGGTGGAGATGTATAGAATACTCTAGATTGCATAGAATTTTCAAGAGCAGTGTAGAAGTCTCTAAAATTGCATAGAAGAGTATAGAAGTTTCTAGAATATTCTAGAGCTTTTGAGAGAAGCGTGGAAGTCTCTAAAAGTGTGTGAAAGAATGTAAAATCCTCTAGAATATTCTAGAATAAAGTGGAGTCCTTTAGATTTTTCTAGAACATTATACAAGCTTGTGGAGACTTTATAGAAGATTCTTGAAATGTGGAGATGTGTGGAATATCTTAGAGAAGTCTTTGTTGTTGTTTGTCATCTTCCAGCTAATTTTAGTAGCATTCTTCCTATTATCCTGATAAAGCATCGCACTATGAGGTATGAGGTGGGTACTACATTTGAATTTTGTAAATCCACCTGATCATAAGCCAAACCAAATGCCTTCCATTGTTATCCAGAAGCAATGCAATAGCACAAAAAAGTACGACTTTGTGCTATTCATAGATGTGTAGCGCAACAGATAGTCATACTCACATTTGGCCATATGTAAGCATCCCAATAGTGAATTTCTAAATGCTAAAGTTACTCCCTCCATACCAAAATATGGTTCCCATTTTCCATGTTTTGGTTGTCCAAAAATAAGGTTCCCCTTTCTAAAAATGGAAACTTTATTAATTTTAAAGGACAAGAAAGCCCCTTATCCATACTCTCTTCACTCTGTATTTCATGTCCCTAATTTAGATCTAGGCATACCCTGCAGCTTTCTTATTTTCCTTCTTGTTTCTTCGGTTCTTTTGTTCTTTAGGTCTGACTTAAGGCATCACTAGGTCTCATATGTAGTGGCCAGGCAAGCCGGAACTTGCAAAAATGTGTCGCAGCTGTTGGAATCTCAGAATCTAGAAAAATCAAATATAAAATCATATGGAAAATCTTTGGAGTTGTACAGCATCGTCCTTGTGTCTATTAGAATCTAGGAAAATTAGACGGAATCATATCTCAAGGAACTTAAAATCTAGTCTTGAAACTGAAAAGAAATAAGATCTCAAGGAACATCAGATGCACCAAGCCTGGACTCGAGCTCGACGAAACCGAACTCGACTGTGAACGTGAACTCAACAAAACTAGACCTCAAGCAACATCAGAACCGTTGTAACCATAAGTCAACTTGCCACCACTTGTGATAGCGTTGGCAGTGGTGGTGGCAAACTCGATGAGCTACGACCGGATGGCGTGGTAAAATCCTGGCCGTAATGGGCAGATAGGAGAATGAAATAGAGTTTGAAATGGGATTTTGAAAATGAAAGAAATTAAGGGTATATTGGGAAAGTCAACAAATCTTTTAAATTTTCTTAATCTGCATGCTTAGTCAAACCGAGAACATTAATTTGGGATGGAGGGAGTAGGAAGCTTACTCTGAATCATTCCAGGTGGACATATTTTTATGATGTGTAAAAGTATGAAACTTCATGAACAAAAAATTTCTCCAGATTTTACTATGATTGCTGATAAAAGACACCAATATCCTTGAGAAGACGCCACAAATCATTTATGTTCAAACAAAGGGAACATATAGTAGTTGAAGCATATTGTTTAACATGCAAGACTTGAGTACCTCATCTGTGGATCCAAAACGATTCTTCACAGACCTGAGCAATCGATGAGAAGAATACTTTTCCCCCTGCAGATTGTAAGTAGCTGAAGCAGCTTAGTTACAACAATGACTTATTCCAAAAAGCAATAGATGACTACAAAGTCTCCAAACATGAGAAAAGCTTCTAATTTATATGAAAGAAAACCACGACCAAAATCATGCATGGGCAATGCATGAAATAAGTTGGACTGCACAAAACAGATCACTGAATTTCTACAATTTTCAAAAAGTAGGAATTGAACAAAGCATCCTCTTGAAAACAGACAATAAAATTTTATTTCATTTCATCATATAAAGACTTGAGCAGTAACAATATTGTACGAGACAAGATGCATGCACATCAAGTCAGTGCCACGATAAACTCAATGTTAAATCTGGTAAAAAAAATCCATGCAATAAATTCATATGAATAACCCACCTCAATCCAAGAATATTGGAAAACCCTTAGATGATAAAAGCATAGAAACACCAACCTCCATATACAAGACGGCATCGACGATGTGCTCCAAGACACGAGGTCCAGCTATTTCCCCAGTTTTAGTGACATGACCAGCCTGAAATAGAAAGAGATGTAAGCACAAAAGAAGATATACAGGATGAAGTCATAAAAGTTGTCTATAAAACATGTATTGATAATGAAAATTCATGATTGTGTTCCTCGCCAAGAGAATGCAATTCAAAATTCTAAATGAATCTCAGATGGCTTAACATTACGTTAATTACAGAAGTGGATAGACTATAAATATGTATTCACATTTTCCAAAGAATTGCATTAAAAGGTCAGTGCCTTTTAATCTTTAAGGCTAGAAGCAAATCATCAAAATCTAATGGGCACATTGTGTGGTCACAAAGCAGTGTAATGGCTAAAGAGCAATTGGAGGATTTCCGGGGTGTTATACCCCTGGATGGCTCCACCCAAACCTCAAACCATCCCTAAACATCCAAAATGCCTTGTCTTTTATTTCCTTTAAAATAAAGTCTTCCTCCACTTATTTTAAGTCCCTTGACTGAAAATAAGAAGACCATTTTTATTTCTTTTTTTTAAAGCCTTAAATAATAAAATAACACACTTCCCTTCTTGTTCCTACATAGGGATGAAATTCCAGCCCCATTTGGTTCCTAAAATCCAACCAAAATTACCATTTACCACAAATAAAAAAATCAGCAAAAAGAGTCTAAAGTTGAATTGTAAAAGTTTCTCCTTTTGTTGACTAATTTCACAACCAAACATGTAGTGTACCTTCCTCACCTTTTCCCCTACAAAAGGCCGAAATAATCTCTTCAAAACAAGCCAAAGAATATCCTCCAAATTCATCCAATATCTCCTTG